GCAATATCGTGAAAAAGGTTTTAAAAATTATTTTGAATTGATTTCTTATCTTCTTGTGGCGGAACAAAATAACGAGCTTTTGATGAAAAATCATGAATCTCGTCCAACTGATTCTACCCCATTCCTTGAAGTGAATGTAGTGCCAAATGAATCAACTCGGGGTTATGTCCGTATTCATGGCCATAGCCGTGGACGAGGTCATGGCCGTAGCCGTGGTTGTGGCCGTGGTAGTACATCTTTCCGCTAGAAGTGGACAAACAATGAAGAAAAACACAAGAAAGGAATAAGTGGGGATAATAATAATAATATTGAAAATTTGTGCTACCATTGTGGTGGTGAAGGTCATTGGTCACGTACCTGTCGTACTCCAAAATATTTGATTGATCTTTACCAAGAATCACTTAAAAGTAAAAGTAAAAACAAAGAGGTAAAGATAGAAACACATTTTGCTTTTGAAGGTGGTGATTCTGATTATGGTGACATGGATATTACTCATTTGAACAATGCTGATTTCTTTGCCAATCCTAATGGAAGAATTGATCACCTGATTAGGGATGGAAATGTTTAGAAATAAATTTCTTAGATATTGATGTTAAATTTTATAGTTAAGTGTCATTTTAATTTTCTTAAATTGGAATAAAGAATTTACTTATAATTTTTTTAGAGAATTTACTTATGATGTTGTTGTTTTTCAATGAATAAAGTTTTTGTATTCTATGTTTTAATTATATATTTTTATGTTTTTTAATGAAAAATGAGTATTCATCTGATTGGTACCAACAACAATAATGGAGATATGTGTCTCATTGATAGTGCAACAACTCATACAATATTCAAAAATAAAAAAATATTTTTCTTCTTTGGTAATGCAAAAAGCCAATGTTCAAACTATATTCAAAAGTATAAAGATGATTGATAGCTCTGGGAGGGCTAATATATTGTTGCTTGGAGGAACTAAATTACACATTAATGGTGCATTTTATTCTACTAAGTCTAGTAGAAATTTATTGAGTTTTAAGGATATCCGTAAAAATGGATACCATAATGAGACAGCAAATGAAGAAAATAAAGAATATCTTATTATTACGAATTTAATTTCTGATAAAAAGTGCACACTAGAAAAATTACCTACATTTTCCTCTGGCTTGTATTACACATTTATTAATACAATTAACATACATGCTATTGTAAATCAAAATTTTACAAATAGTAATAAATTCAATGTTTGGCATGATCGGTTAGGCCATCTCGGGTCAATTATAATGCAAAAGATAATCATAAAAACCATGTGGACATTCATTGAAAGGTCAACAGATTTCACAATCCTATAATTTTTCACGTGCTGCATGTTCTAAAGGAAAGTTAATTATTTGACCATCACTAATAAAAATAGAAAGTGAGTCTCTCACATTTTTAGAACGCATACAAGGTGATATTTGTGGGCCTATACACCCACCATGCAGACCATTCAAGTACTTTATGGTTTTAATTAATGCATCAACAAAATGGTCATATGTTTGCTTGTTATCTTCTTGTAACTTGGCGTTTGCGAGATTGCTTGCTCAACTTATTAAATTAAGAGCACATTTTCCTGATTATCCTATTAAGAAAATACATTTAGATAATGCCGATGAATTTACTTCACGAGCCTTTAATGAATATTGCATGTCTCTTAGAATTGATGTTGAACATCCTGTAGCACATGTTCATACACAAAATAGACTTGCAGAATCATTGATTAAATGCTTACAATTGATTGCACGATCATTATTTATGTGATCGAATCTCCCAATTTCTACTTGGGAGCATGCAATTTTACATATAGCATCATTAATTTGTATCAGGCCAACAAATTATCTTAAGAGCTCCCCTTTAGAATTGGTTTTTGGTCAAGAACCTAATATTTTCCACCTAAAAATTTTTAGATGTGCAGTATATGTTCCAATTACTCCACCACAATGTATTAAGATAGGTCCTCAAAGAAGGATAGGAATATATGTTGGGTATGAATCTCCATCTATAATTAAATATTTAGAATCATCAATAGGAGATTTATTTACTGTTTGATTTTCTAATTGTCATTTTGATGAATCAGTTTTCCCACCATTAGGGGGAGAAAATAAGCAGTTGGAAAAAGAAATTAGTTGGAATGAATTATCATTATCTCATCTTAATCCTCATACAAAGAAATGTGAACTAGAAGTTTAAAAGATAATTCATTTATAAAATTTAGCAAATCAATTGCCAAATGCATTTACTGACCTAAAAAAAGTAACTAAATCACATATTCCAATTGCTAATGCTCCAATTAGAATTAATGTCCTAGTTGGACAGCCTGTTATTGCAAATGATTCTAAACCATGCATAAAACATGGAAGGCCCATTGATTCCAAAGATAAAAATCCTCAAAAAAGAAAAGGAGCTAGGAACACAAATGATCAAATTGAGGATAATTAAGAAGAGTTAGTAACTCACAAAGATTCATTTGAGACTACTAATATTTCAATTCCAAAAGAAACTCAGGTACCTGAAATGTGTGAAAATAATGAGATCTCAATAAATTATATTATGAATGGAATACAATAGGACCGAAATGAAGTTAACGTTGACAATGTTTTTGCATATAATGTAGTGCTTGATGTAATAAATGATAATAAAGATCATGAACCAAAGTGCATTAAGAAATGCAAACAAAGAGAAGATTGGCCAAAATGGAAAAACGCAATAGAGGTAGAATTAAAATCACTTGAAAAGCAAAATGTTTTTGGACCTATAGTCTACACACTTGAAGGTGTCAAGTCGGTGGGATATAAATGTGTTTTTGCATGAAAAAGAAATGAAAATGGTGAAATTGTAAGATATAAGGCACGGCTTGTAGCTCAAGGATTTACATAAAGGCCTAGAATTGACTTTGTTGAAACATATTTACCAGTGGTGGATGCAACTACTTTTTGATATTTAATTAGCTTGGCAATAAGTGAAGGACTCGATTTGTGCCTAATGGATGTTGTTACAGCTTATTTGTATGGTCCATTCAATAATGACATTTACATGAAACTCCCTGAAAGATTTAAATTGCCAAAAGCATACAATTCAAGTTCTCGAGAAAATTATTCAATTAAGTTAAATAAATCCTTATATAGATTGAAACAATCAAGGCGTATGTGGTATAATTGACTTAATGATTATCTGTTAAAAGAAAGTTATAAAAATGATCCAATTTGTCCTTGTACTTTTATGAAAAGATCTGAAAAAGAGTTTGCTATAATTGTTGTTTATGTTGATAACATAAATATCATTGGAACACCTGAAGAGCTTTCAAAAGCTATAAATTGCTTAAAGAAAGAATTTGAAATGAAAGATTTAGGAAGAACAAAATTTTGTCTTGGATTGCAAATGGAATATATGAATAATGGAATTTTTCTATATCAAGAAACTTATACAAGAAAGGTCTTAAAATAATTTTATATGGATAGATCACATCTGTTATATACCCTAATAGTTGTAAGATCATTGAAGGTAGATAAATATCCTTTTAGACCTCAAAAAGGTGATGAAAAACTACTTGATCCAGAAGTATCATATCTTAGTGCAATTGGAGCACTAATGTATCTTGCCAGTCACACACGACTTGATATCTCATTTGCTATTAACTTATTAGCGAGATGCAGTTCTTCACCAACACAAAGGCATTGGAATGGTGTCAAGCACAATTTTAGTTATCTTAAGAGTACTATGGATATGGGATTATTTTATTCCAAAGTACATAAAGCTAACTTATTGGTTATGCAGGTGCTGGGATTTTGTCTGATCTTATATTGGTAGATCACAGACAGGTTATTTGTTCAAATGTGGTGATACAGCCATGTCATGGCAATCTATGAAATAGACAATGTCAGTCACATCATCTAATCATGTAGAAATTCTAGCTCTACATGAAGCAAGTCGAGAATGTTTGTGGTTAAAATCATTAATCTATCACATACAAGCTACTTATGGTCTATCTTCTAATAAAATGATCCCAACAATCATACATGAAGATAATACTGCTTGTATTGTCCAATTGAAAGAAGGATATATTAAAGGAGATAGAACGAAACATATTTCACCAAAAAAAATTTTTCACTCACGATCTTTAAAAGAATGGTGAAATTAATATCCAACAAATTCGTTCTAAAGAAAATCTAGCTAATATGTTTACCAAGTCACTTCCTACTAGAATATTTGAAAAACTTGTTCATGATACTGAACTTCGCAGATTCAAAGATATTGATTCATGCTGTTTAGAGGGGGAGTTAATACGTGTTGTACTCTTTTTTTCTTGTTTAAGGTTTTTTTCTATTGGGTTTTCCTAGCAAGGTTTTTAACGAGATATCATTGAATAGCATATCAATAAATGATGTACTCTTTTCTTCTACTAGGTTTTTTCCCATAGGGTTTTTCCTAGTTGAAGTTTTTAATGAGGCACATTATTATATAATGGACATCCAAAGGAGAGTGTTATGAATATTATAAGGATAATGGATGTTCATCTTCATCACCTGTTCATCTTCATCTTCTCCCATGAAACTCCCACTATCATGAGAGTTAATTACCTTTTATTTGCTTTTATCATTTGTGTAACCTTTGATGTGTAAAACCATATCTATAAATAGGACATGAAATTTGTATTAAAGGATATAATAATCTATAAGAAATTCTCTCATTCTCTTATCTCTGTTTCTTCTCTCAATATCTTTATTTTTTAGTTGTTAATTTTATAACAGAAATTTTTTTTATGATTAAAATTTTTATTCTGAAATTTATTTTAAAGAAATGTAGAGAATATTCTCTCCTGGGTTAGCCTTGGTCCTTGGGAAAGTAATTTGACAGTTACACAAACGGCAAGTTGCAACAAACCGGTACGATATTTATCAAGTTAATTGACGAAACGACCCCTCCACAAAATCCCCCACACGGCTTTTCGATTTCGAAACTGCACCTCTCTTTCTCGTGACCCGTCCGTAACACACGCGTCCCTTTTCGTCATTCCACTCCACAAGCATCTCCCAGCAAAGATAATGAAAATCACCACCACGATCCAAAGTCCCTCACACTCACTCACGAACCCACTTTCCTTCGGTGCGTCTCTCTCGATCTGCGTCCATGGCGGACGATCAAACTCCTGAATCGCCTCTCTCCTTCAAGGACAAACTCAGATCCTCCTTGTGCTTCTTGTGCTGCTTCCACCACCACGATCACCACCATCGCCATACGGTGAAGCCGAAACTGGTTCGGAGCTCATCGCTTCAGCACAGGCCTTCCCGCTCTTATGATCTTCCGCATCTGAAGGAGAAGTGCAGCAACTTTATCTCCAGGATCGGCCGCCATCGCCGACGGCATTCGGCCGATTTCCAGTATGATGCGCTCAGTTATGCGCTGAATTTTGAAGACGATGCGATGGACGAAGATAGGCCTGCCGGCGACTTCAGGAATTTCTCCGCGAGGTTGCCTCTGTCTCCGACGTCTAAGGTGTCTTCGGATCTGAAGACGACAGGGAAATCGCTGCTCTTGGTCGATCTATAATGTGTAACGTGTGATAAGTCTTACGTGAGATCTGGAATGTGTTAACTGATTGTGAAACAGAAAAAGTTAAATCGCATGAATTCACGGCGGCGGCGGCGTCGATCCTGTCGGACGGAGTAAATGGATGCCGCTGAACCTGAACTCGGTGCTTATGTTTTTTTTTTTTTTTTTTTTGCTTTTTAATTTTGTTTTGTTTCTTCGTCTTACTACCTGTCTTTGTAAAAGTTGTGAATGCGATCCATCGCAGAGGAATAACAAAGGAAAAGTAAGAACAGAAAGGGCAAAGAATAACACAGAAAAGAATTGACCAATCTAAAGAAATAGATTGAAAAAGTGTATACTTATTTGAGTATCACATGAGTCCAGTCTTAGTAATTAGTCTGGCTTACATTTTCAAAGAACTTTTTATTTGTTTATATTATACATTTATTGAAAAACTAATGATAAAAACATCACAAAACACAAGGCTAATCTATAATGTAATTGATCCATTGTTTTCGAGATCGATCTGTCTCCATTTTCTCTATCTTGCTTGTATTGGCTGCATGACTTTCCATAGCACTTCACTAATGGATCAAATTGCTCATATTGCTACAGCGTACAAATCGCTAAAACATTGAGAAGACTTCAGGCTTCAATTTCTTTTTAGCTAATTTTGTTTTTAGCAGATGTTAATTTTGCAATTATATGATGTGCCATCTTTTTTTCTGATAAATGAGTGTAGCTTTACTTTTTTGGGACATGAGATGAATGTAGGTTGGTGTTAACTCAATTCAAAAAATAATAATACTCCCTCCACATCACAACAATATAAGTTATAGTTAACTAATTTATGAATTATGAATGATATTAGTTGAAACAGGTGTTTTAAAAACCAAAGAATGAACTAGGAATCGACTCTTGGTTCAGTTCGGTTGACCCCTCAAAATTGACAACAAGGAAACCGGTCCAATTTTCAATTGATTTTTTCAATTGGACTAATTAAAAATTTAAAGAAATTAATTTGAAAATTAATTAAAAGAATGAACAGCCAAGAATAATTAATATTAATCTTGTATTCATCAACAATATATCATTTTATTGAGCATTTATTTTTACAAAAATATAAATATTTGCATGTATTTCTCATTTAATTATGATACATAAATTAAAAATATATTAATTTAATATCAACCACTTTGACCACAGTTGAATTAATGAATCATGAACCATGGTTAGTCCGGTTCAATAACCGGACCAGTTTTTAAAACTTTAGTTGAAACCTTAAATTCTTACAAATGTCAATCTCTTTTTATTTATGTCCCCATTAAATACTCTATATAATAACCTTGAAAATAGTAATTTAAATTTCAATACATGATTTTTTCCAAAAAAAAAAAAGGTAATGAATGAAGTAAGGATATAGTTGAAAACATAAATATAAAAGTTATTTAATACCTTATATTTTGGATCAATAAGATTTCTAAAAAATATCTTATATTATGGTATGGAGGAGTAGCTATGACTATGACAAGATACTGAATAATACAGTAATCTATTTATTATGATCATGAACGAGCTTTAAATATTCTGGCCGAAAATTGAACAAGCTTTAAATATGAAACCACTTCATGCAAATGTTATGCTTCTTGGGGAAGATTTGTTTTGTTCTCATGAATGATAAGTCCAATTCTAATTCTCTGTGCGGCCCCAAAGCAACTCTGATTCACTTGTGCTTCTTGAATTTTGCCGAAGACTTTTTTCAAGTACAAATGAACTCAGCTTATTTTACAGGTTAAACAAGATATTTGCAATTTTACTTTGTTCAGCTTGCTTAATTCACTATAATATAAAGAAAGGTTAAAGAGTAAATTTGTTCTAAGAATTTTTCACGAAGTGGAATTAGTGGTATTCTTAACTTTTCATTGATATAATGTTTACCTAAAATTTTTAAATATAGTATAATGTTGTTGTATAGTAATATTTGATTAATTTAACTGTTAAATGTTAAACAATTTTGACTAAAATTAAAGGACAATTTCACTTCTAATAAATTTATGAAAAAATTGCTATGAAGTTCCTAATAATCATTCAAAATATTCAAAGATTTCATCAAATCTAAATATACCTATCAAGTCTCTGGAGACTTATAGGTAAATAAGTTTGAAATAATAATGATTAAAATATTCGTGTTAAAAGATATATACTTTGTTAATAACTTGATAATGGTTATTTATCATAGGATAAAAGCTATTCACAAATAAGTCATTTGTTAGTAACAAGTATGACCTGACAATTATTTAAATATTTCATGGGTTCTTTAAGTAGTTTAAATGATTGTGGGACACTTCATGAAATTTTTTCTAAATTTATTTGATTAGTCCCATCCACCTTGGGTTAGTCTTTATTGCCCTCAAGTAGGACCGAACAAGTCTAGAATTTGTTCAAGGATACGTCCATGGAATGCTAAGGCAAACCAAGTTCTCTAGTCAACATCCGAAAACGTTATAATTATGACATTTCATATATTAATTTTTTTTGTCATTACAAAATATAAGTTCTCGAGTTTTTATTTGAATTATTTCTTTTACTTAAATAATCCAATGCGAGTTCCTTTGATGATAATTTGATATTCAGATGAGATTATGTTGTTTAAATATTAATTAGCTCAAATACTATCTTATTTAGCAATTATAAAAATTGAGATGAGAAGTTGTTTGGTTTTAAAGCTAACTTGGAACTATGACAATGACGATATGATAGTGGAAAAATTATTGTAACAAGACTATGATTGAAAATGACTCCAAACTTGTATTGAAAAGAGTCCAATCGTCCATTATTCACATATTCTCAGCCATTAATTTCACAAACATTGTATATTAGTTGCAGAAATAATTAATCTCTCCTCCTCTCAATCTATTATTCCTCTTACATCATATTAATTTTAGTAGCATTTGGTGGAAAAGTGTTTCTCAGTATTAAGAATTAGAATGAATTAATTGGTTTAATCAGTTCGAATCACCAATCACATGTATATTTTAAGGCCCAGAGTGGAATCAAGATATAAAAACAAAAATAAAAGGATCACAATGTAGAGAAAAATTAAGCCAATTATGTTTACGAGGAAAGTAAGTAATTTTGTTCAGGAGTATGCTTGAAGGGGTCAAGATCCTCTCATCATCTCTCTTTTCCTTTTCATCTCTTCATCTCTTTTCCATCTTTAAATAATCAAATAAATGGTTCAGATTTATTTTATAAAATAACTATCATAATATCATATAAAAAATAAATAGATAAATTTAAATTATTAAAATTTGACCTGCACAATTCATAATTTTATGTTATTATTAAATTTTAAATAAATTAAAATTTTTATTTATCTTATCGCAATTATAAATTATGTAGGTCAAATTTTAACGATTTAAAACTATTCGTTTATTTTATATCATAATATTATGATAATTGTTTTACAAAATAATTAAATCTAAACTATTTATTCCTAAAGGTGAAGATGGGACAAGGAGAAGAATTAAAAAAACAGAAGGATAAGAAGAGGAGGGGCCTGTATGTAGACATATCATATTTGATATATCATATACATCAATTAGTATGGTGAAGATAATGAAATGATGGGATGTGCGTTTCCTTTCATCAAGTATTAAAATCATTTTCCATCTCCAAAAATGCTTGCCTGTTGGTGACTTTAATTAAGTGAAAATGTCCTCACGACCCAAGAACCTCTTGCTTTCAATGATATTGCCCCTTGTATTCATCACAAGAACATTGAATTATTTGCTGATGTTTTCTCATATTTTATATTCCCTTCATTTAAAAATATAAAATATTTTTAATTAAATCACAATTTTCAATAAGTTAATTAATTTTTTAAAAATGATATCATTTTTTTCGTATTTATTTTTATTTAATAGAATATCTTGCTTAAAGGTAAAGGATTAAGTGGTTTACTCATTAATGGTATTTTTGAAAAAAAAAACACATTAATTATATATTAAAAAATTAAAAATGTCTTATATTTTTTTTAACGAAGGGAAGGAGTAATTAATGTTTAATAATTTTTATTTTTTTTGCTAATTTTTAAAAGCAAAAGTATAGTAAGTAACGTTTTTATCATTGATTAATTATATAATTTATTTCAATTCATTAAAATGAAACTTGGTTACCTCATTAAACTTTAATTTCCATACTCTAATATTTTGAAATAAATATTTTATATATATATATATATATATATCAACCTTATTATAAAGTTTTGTAAAATTATGTGTCAAGTTTAACTGATAAAAGTGCTCAATCTCATACCTTGGTTAGGTTCTTTTTTTAATATGATGAACAAAGTTTATTTCGAAGGTATAAGTAATTTTTTTATTTCTTATAGAAGATCTAAATAAATTAGAAGGTTATTCTCTTATAATTCTTTTAAAATTTAGGGAAAATCTCACTCAAGAATCCAGGAACTTATCATTACCATAAAAGATTTTGAGATTCTCTATTCTCTCTGGACATCTAGGGAACCTAAATGAAAATAAGATTTAATGCAAAAAGAAAAAATAGCCCTGTTGAGAGAAAAGGAAACATAAATCAAGGGAAAAACTTGAGGTTTGTTAACTACTTTTTGTTATTTGTCAATATGCGAATGCATGCTTGCTACAACAAGACCAACACTTGTCAAAAATTAACCTAGACCTAACAGATTTTTTTAACTTGTTCATTATCAAGCTATCACTTGTTAATTACTTATAGGTACTTCTCAACATGTGAATGGATGCTTGTTGCAACAAAACCAACACTTGTGGAAAATTACACCATGGCCTATCAAAACTTTAACTTGTTTATTATCAAATTGTCACTTGTTTAACAAAATGATGTAATATTTATCCCAAAAAAACCAAAAAAAAAAGACATGAAAATAGAGAAAAATTGTTCATCTTCATTAGCATTTCAGCAAGAAGCAAAAGCAGATGTGGAGGCGTTCTCTTAGACCAAAACATGTGTTGGCAATGGGTTTTTAGCTGCAAGCTTTCATTTGTATCACCTGCAATCATAGAGCTACTTGGACTAATTTAGGGATGCAAAATTTGTTGGGAACAAGGTTATCGTAATATCTCAATTTTTATGGATAGTGCGGAAGCAATAAATCTTATATTAAGAAGCAGTGTTGAGAACCACCCCTTTCAAGATATCATAGCTGATGCTCGATCTTTCTATCATAGAGATTGGAATGTTTTCCTTAATCCATGTTACAGGAAAGATAATATTTTTGTTGATTGATTGCCAAGATTTTCATCATTTAGATTATGCTTTTTGCCTCTTTAACTATCTCCCACCTTGTTTTGGAGGGGTGGGGTAATGATGAAAGAGGAGCAGGTTAAATGTTGGGA